GCGGGCCGTTCCCGCAAGGGCAGGCGCTCGAGCTGGAGGGCCGGTGCGCTGCACGGCTGCTCCTCGGGTGCTGAGAGCATACGGCCGTGGTGGCCTGAGGCGGAAACAGAGCGCATGCTCACAGGCGGGACGATGGGCGGTGGCGATGATGGTGACTGAGAAGTACGGAAGACGCCTACGGCGAACCACCTCCGCCCCCGACCGCTCTGGAAACGCCCAAGTCTGGCCAAGCGGTTGGACTAGATAACTATGCGTTGCCCCAGCCATTGTGGAACCCCTTGGAGGAGCACTCCACTCGAGAGGAAGAAGCGGCCTCTCGGGCCCTTTGAGGGCATCCCAGGCGTCTCGGGGGGCCTTCTGGGGGCCTCGGAGGGCTTCCTGCGGGCCTCTGGGGGCTTCTGAGGGCCTCTAAGGCCGTCGGAGGCCGTCTTGGGCCATCTTTGACCAGTCTTGGGTCGTTTCGGTGCTGTCTTGGAGGCGTCTTGGAGGCCATCTTGGGCGCCTTGAAGGTCTCTTGGGCTATCGTGTGGCCCTCTTGCGGCCGTCTTGAGGGCCTCTTGGGGCCGTATTGTAGGCCTCTTTGGGGCCGGCTTGGGGCCATCTTGGTGGCCTCTTGGGCCATCTTGGCTGTCCGAGGCCCGAACAGGAGCAACCGCCAAAATCCAAATTATCCCAGTGCGACCCTACCTAGGAGTTGGAGCCTCTAGGAAAGCAACATTAGTAGGAGCAGCAATAGTGGATGCTGTGCTGCGCTATGCTATGCTATGCTATGCTGTGTTATGCTATGCTATGCTATGCTATGCTATGCTATGCTATGCTATGCTATGCTAAGCTATGCTGCGCAATGCTATGCTGGGCTAGGCTATGCTATGCTATGCTATGCTATGCTATGCTGCGCTATGCTATGGTATGCTATGCTATGCTATGCTATGCAATGCAATGTTTTTGCTTTGCCTTCGCTTTTGCCTTCATGTTTGCCTTTGCTTTTGCTTTTGCTTGGCACCCAGGGAGCGCAACTGCGGGAACCGCGCGTTTGCTTTACCTTTGCTGTTGCTTTTGCTTGGCTCTCAGGGGACTGGGGGAACCGCCCGGGGCGGTTTCCACTGCCCGGCCCTTTTCAGCCAAGAGAGTAAGAACCCTTCTAGGCAGAGCCCAGGTAGGGAACAAACCCTTGAGACGAATCAGCAATTTTGGCATCTGCGGACCCTCCTGTGAAGGCATTCCCAGCCACCTCCACACCCACCATGTCACAGCTTCTAGTCTCTCTCTGGGGCCTGCAGCCCAACGACCGCTGTCAACTGCTCGTGCCCTTGGCAAGGCCTCTGGCTAATTGCAGAAAGCGATGCCGTCGAGCGGCTAGCAAAACCATCATACTAATCTTAGATAACCAAGAACTGATCACACACATAGATGCACACGTACAAATACACACATATCGATATATACTTATAATTGTAATATTATAGATGTAAAGTGTCGCACAAACTTTGTTCTTCACGCATGTCACGCCCGATATTCCCTGGACCATTGCTCATATCGGGTCTTGGCACACACGCAACGGTCCATCTTCATACACGAAAGCGCGATTTCAATTCAACGAGCAAGCGGTTATATAGATATACATACATACATATATCTATATATATATATATACATACATATATATAGATATTATCAGACGGCCTTCGACCCATCCCGTCACCGTGAAGCATATTGAGTGTTTGTTGGGATCTCGTGGGGGGCCTCTCCGGGACCTCTTGGAGGCAGTTTTGAGGCATCTCGGGCGCCGTGTTGGGGCTTCTTGGAACCTCCTTTTGGCCTTTTGGGGGCCGCTTGGTGCCTTTTGGGGGCCTCTTGGGGGCCTCTTGGGGCCTCTTGGGCTCCTCTTGGGGCCTCCTGGAGGCCTGCGGAAGGATCGGACGTTCGGTTCGTGCTCCCTCTCTTGGGCTCCCTGTGGGGTCGTCTTGAGGCCCTCTTGGGCCGTCTTGGGCGCCTCCTGGGCCGTCTTTGGGCCATCTTGGTGGCCGCTTTTGGCCGTCTTGGAGCGTTGGAAGGCGGAACGGGCGAGAACGCCAAAATCCTTCAGCAACCGTCGGAGCATCTGTGATTTTTGCCTCTTGGGGCCCTCTTGTGGCGTCTTCGAGGCCTCTTGGGCCATCTTGAGGCCATCTTGGGCGTCTTGGAGCAATTTTGGGGCGACTTGGGGCCCTCTTTGACAAGTTCGGGGGTCTCTGAAACAATGCTTACATTTTCGGCTGCAACAGCAGCACAGCCCTCCCAGTGCTGCATGAGCCTTGGGGCATTCCATTTTGTGCCAGAGGCACGGCGGCGGATCTCAAATACAGCTTTACGTATGTAAGTAGATGTGTCTGTATGTATGTATGTATGTATGTATGTATGTATGTATGTATGTATGTATGTATGTATGTAGGTAGTTGTACATGTATCTATATATATATATGTATATGTATATGTATATATATATATCATATAAAACGGAGCCGCGATGTTATACAATTGCTAATGCAGCCAGGTAGGTGGCGATTTGAACTATCCGCCGTCAGAGCGCGTCGACTACAATGATCCTGGTGGGCTTGGGGGTGGGTTGTTCTCTCTTGATCCTGGGGGTCCTCTGTGAGGCTTCTTGGGCCGTCTTGGCGGCCTCTTGTGGGCCGTTTTGGGCCATCTTGGGGCCCAATCTTGGACCGTCTCGGTGCCATGTTTGTCGTCTCGGAGGCGTCCGGAAGGCCATCTTGCGCGTCTTGGAGGTCTCTTGGGCCGTCTTGGGGCCGTCTTTGCCGTCTCGGAGGCGTCTTGGAGGCCACCTTGATCGTCTTGGAGGTCTTTTGGGCCATCGTGGGCTGTCTTGTGGCCGTCTTGGGGGGCCCTTGGGCCGTCTTGGAGGCCTCGTGGGCCATCTCGGGGATCGCTTGGGCCATGTTGGACCGTTGGAAGCCCAGAAAGGAGCAAACTGCCCAATCTTTCTAACATTTATAGGAACATCAGGGATTTTGAAATCTACGGGCTCTCCGGGGGGTCCCGTTGCAGGCCACTTGGACCGTGGTGGGGGCCTCTTGGGGGGGCCTCTTGGGGGGGCCTCTTGGGCCGGCTTGGGCCATCTTGCCGTAATGTTAGGCCTTTTGGGTGCCATCTTGGCCGTCTCCGAGGCCATCTTGGCCGTCTTGGAGGCCATGTTGGGCCCTCTGGCAGTCATCGTGGCTGAACCCAGAGGCCACTGGGATTTGTTTGGAAGGGTTCAAATAGTAGTAGGACGCTTGCCATGCCAGCAACCCCTCTTGTAAGCAACACGGTTCTAGTTGCCTTCGGCTCACCATCTTGGAGCGTCGGAAGCCCGAAATGGAGAACGCAAAAATAGATTATCCCGATTGGGATCAATGACTTGTGCCTCGTGGGGCCCGCTTGGGGGACACCTTGGATCTTGAGGCCATCCCAGGATCGCCCGGAACTCTACGCCGCTGCCCCTTCAAGGCAGTATGACTGTTCAATCCACAGGACTCGAGGGCACCTGCGGACAATCCACTCCGTGCCTCCAGGCACGGTGGCGGAGTTGACTGACGCTGGCAATGACGGCGGCGGCGAGAGCGGAGAGGCCTGCAGCGGCCCTGGGGCAGGGCCAGCTCCGAAAGGGGGGGCGCGCAGGAGGGGCCCCCTGGGCGCCTCTGGCTCGCGCGGCCCAGCGGCCCCAAGCGGCGTGCCCAGGCAGGCCCGCCTTTGTGTGATTCAGAGGTGTCAGCCAGGTGCCGGCACTGTTCGGGGCCCGCTTCAGTCGTTCTGTTGCCCGTCCCGCGCTCATCTCTGCTCCCGCTCAGCAGCGGGCATGCCTGGGCCTCATCGCCATCGCGATCGCGATCACGTAACCGAGTGCCCCGGATAAAAATGTCCCCCCCCTTCCCCCCTCTGTTTGTTTCTCCGGGTTCAATAGGATGTAATTGTGGAGAGGGGCGCGGAGGCCGAACTTGATAATCCACGGGGGAAGTTGCGAATCGAAGTTGCTATCCTATCATGTTGACTAGTAACAGCATCAAAAACGCTGAGCATGGCCATGGTGGTCTCACCAGATCAGCTTCCGCAATCACGAGCGTGTGGCAGGGCTGTGGGATTCTCACGAGTTCAGTTTGCCCAGGTTACGAACGTGCGGCAGGGCCATGGGCTTCTTCCTCCCCCTCCTCCCCTTGTCCCCCCCCAGGCCCCGAACTTGTTGATCCGGGGTTCCTTCTATCACCAGAAGGTGCCCACCATGGACACACACACACCCACATGTGAGATTGAAAACGACCAAAAAGAATCAGTTGTTATTTTTTTTGTTTTTGAAAAACCGAAGGTTCCGAATCCAAGAATAGTCTGAAAAAGCATTCCTGGGGCCATCCTCCGCTCTCTTCCTTCTCACACCCTTCTTCCTTCCTTCCTTCCTTCCTTCCTTCCTTCCTTCCTTCCTTCCTTCCTTCCTTCCTTCCTTTCTACTACTACTACTACTACTACTACTACTACTACGACTACTACTACTACTACTACTACTGCTGCTGCTGCTGCTGCTGCTGCTGCTGCTGCTGCTGCTGCTGGTGCTGCTACCACAGTCAACCCTACTACTACTACCTTCCTTCCTTACGAGTACTACTACTACTACTACTACTACTACTACTACTACTACTACTACTACTACTACTACTACTACTACTACTACTACTACTACTACTACTACTACTACTACTACTACTACTACTACTACTACTACTACTACTACTACTACTACTACTACTACTACTACTACTACTACTACTACTACTACTACTACTACTACTACTACTACTACTACTACTACTACTACTACTACTACTACTACTACTAAACTACTACTACTAAACTACTACTACTACTACTACTACTAATAATAATAATAATAATAAACTACTACTACTACTACTACTACTACTACTACTACTACTGCTACTACTACTACTATACTGACTCCTACTACGAAC